TACCGTTCCGTACCGGTACGTACGGTACGTACGTACTCGTACTACGTACGTACGTACGTTACGTACGGTACGGTCGACGACGACGACGACGACGAGAGAGAGAGAGAGAGAGAGAGAGAGAGAGAGAGAGGAGGAGGGGGAGAGAGGAGAGAGAGAGAGAGAGAGAGAGGTCTGAACACAAGGGAATAGAATTAGGGGAGGACCCTCTTTATATTGGCCTCAATGGCCAAGGGTATTCCACTTAGTATTGAGGATTCAGTTTGACCTTAGGATTCCTAGGTAATATGTGAAGTGAGGGAGAAAACAAATCAAAGCCATCCATTCATGAAATAAGCCAACATGATTTCGGAAGAATCTAGGAACTTTATCCCCCATTCATAATGAGAAATAAATTTCAAAAGAGTTCCCTTAAAGATTTGTTTAAGGATAACTTCAACTACAAAACTAGCAAAAGAAGTGATATGCAGCTAAATAATAGTGAAAAATACATATTAGTGTAAAATGATGGCATATTCAAAGGAATGTTCAAGCTTAACTTGGACAATGGCCCCAAAAGCCAATCCAATGCAGCAAGATTTGGGAGGGTGGTCAAGTAGAGTATATGGCAGCTAACTAGCTACTAAATGCTACAATGGCTTCCTAAAAATTTCCATTGCATATTGTTACTCAGCAGACCAATTGCTTTCCCTCTAGGGAACTTCTCAAATGTACAATGGCGTAAAGGATTTGGTTGAAGTTATGGATGTTAACAATTTTCATGCTATATCAGAGAAGCCTCAGACCAACTAGTTAGCTACTATAGGTTATCCTTAGGAAGAATTCAACATTTGGGAAGTACTAACACTTTGTAATATATACAAGTGCTTTAAAGCTTTCAAATTTTGGTTGAAGTTATGGAGGTTAACAATCTTCATGCTATATCAAAGACGCCTCAGACCAACTAGTTAGCTACTATAGGTATCCTTAGGAAGAATTCAACAATTGTGATGTACTAAAACTTTATTTATCTCACTGACTACAGTGAAAAATAGTTGTTTCAGAAACTTGTGCAGATGTAGCAACAACCAATGAAAGTTAATGTTCAAATCAGGATTAAATTACTAAGTACACATTTGATCACTTGTATATCTAAGAAAGAAATGATAAGACAAACTTGTTGTTGCCAAGGGTAACACAGAGATCATGCCTCACCAGAGAAATTGCCAATAGTTCTTTCATTCAATGCATATTCATCCAAAATGGTTTCAACAGAACCATATCACATGAAAAGCTTATAGGCTCTGAATCATTAAACAGGCCTCAATAAATGCCATCGCCCCAGCAGTAAGAAATGGTGATTTCCTTCACATCCTTGAAGACATGCAACAGAAATGACAGCTCATTGCATGGGTGATCTGTTTAGGAAGTCAAGGAGAAACATACCAGCCCGTGGAATACGTACAACGTGTCAATCAAGTTTAGAAATGATGCAGAATGAATCTTCAAATTATCTGATTCCTTATCAGTTTCAAGTTTATAATCCACATAGACATTTATATTGTAGGTAAAAAATTTCTACAATTGGTGGAGTTAGCCTTCATTTTTAAGGTTTCCTTGGTCAAGGCATCGAATTTTCATAACAACTCCTGTGCTGAGGCTTCACATGTATGAAACCCAGAAAACCAAAGTTGGTTCGCTCTCCACATCAATAGTTTATTGAACATAAGTAGATTCTCCCACATCCCTTAATTATGGCTGGAATACCTACTTAGTAGCTTCCTTAAAAAGTTAACCACCAAGCCAGAAAAAAATCATGCCAAGGTTCATCCTACCAAATAATTTAGAACGACATACCTCAAGGAGAAGTCCTCCGAGCAAAAACATAATGAAAAGTTAATGAAAAGATAGAATAATCTCTTGACTGAATTGATTATTTTTAAAAAGTTGTATTTATTAACAACAGCCTTTAAAACTATCTCAAGATTTCAAATCCCCTAACAAATACCAGTGACAAACACACTTTGAAGTTTTAACATATTGCAGTAACAATATTATTAAGTGTAAATCTTTGATGTATTGCTAAATGCACAGTATACGCACCGCTACATCATCATATATGCATATGTTCGCCACACTTTGACCCTCAAAAATGACACCACCGAGGCTAAGAAAACGCCGCCTCATGATTTCTACAAGTTTGGCAGGCCTGTGAGCACCACAAATGTAACAAAAGTTTTACAAAAGGTCTCTCCTAAAATTTCATAAATTCTTAAATGATTATAAGAACTCACTCTAGAGAAAACTTCTACCACGTAAGCTGCTCAAAGAAAAGATCAATCCCATGTGAACTCATGGAGATCTAAATAACCAAAACATAAAATTTGAGAAGCAATGGGGCCACTCAAGAAAACCTTAACAACACCAATATCACATTTAAGTATTGAGACAAAACTAAAAACTTCTTTGCATGTCCATTGAGAGCAACAATCCAAGACTCCTAAGAAATGATTTGAAGTTATCCAAATTTCATATTCTCTTAAAAACTTGTCACACAAAAAATTATCCATGTCTAGATCTTCAAGCAATTGGAAATACATCACTGACAAACCACCGTTAGCCCCTTGATTGTGCACTGAATATCTCAATGTCATTATAAGGATGCAATGTACATCCCACATTTGTCAGTGCTTAACTTAGAGTTTCAACTGTACATCACAAGTGAAATCTTGACTCATCGCAACCCCTAACCTCAATCCCTGAATTCTATAAGAAAAAAGATTTCAGGTATTCATCTAACATGAAATTGCATCTTTACAACTTTTTTTGAGATAATTACATCTTTACCATTATTTATGTATGTACAGAGAGAGATTGGGTGAATGTATAGATGGTAGACAACCTCTAGTAGCTGACATCCTCTACGTTTCAAAAACTAATTAATTAAATAAGGGTTTTGGTAGACCTAATAGGCTGAAACTGAGGATTCACTGATGGTGTGTTTGAGACATATTTAGAGTGTATTTGATCAATGGGAGGTTAGAGAACCTCCACTAACATGATTTTAAGTATGATGATCCAGGAACCCGATGATATCCAGAAAGTATTCGATAAAGTTCTCCACGACTCCGAAATTGCATTAAGTTGGATCGGATCATTGTTATGATCAAAAACCAAAAATCAAAGGTGGATCATTTTCAGGGGAAAGAGAGCACAAGGCAAGATCGCATGCTCAGCACTAATCATGGCGGCATAGTTGGGCCGCAAGGTATAATTCTTTACCCTTGAACATGGCTCTAAATTAAAGTAGGGAAAGAAGATTCAATAAGCACGAAACTAAGAAAAAAAATTTGACTTCAATACCTCTAATTCATTAGAATAGTGAGGGATATCTTGGCACTAAAAGGTGAAATTAATTATAAATAAAGTATGGAGAGCAAGAACTAGTCACACAAGTTACAAGCCATAAAGAGCTAATGTACCCTTAGTGTGAGACATGGATGGATGTGTACACTCAATAAAAGGTGGTGGACATAAGTGATGAGTTTTGGTGTCTTGATTCTAGATCAATGATATATGATTCAAGTAGAAAGTAAGTTTCGGTCGAGCTCATTCAAGCGTAAAGCATATTTGCGGACTATGTTTGGACTATAGATATGGACAATGTGTGAATGTGAAAACGATGCGGATTATGCGTGGATAATGTGTGACATATAGTCTATGCATGGACAACATGCGAATGTGGAACCATGTGGACTGCATTTGGACAATGTTCCATATGAGACATTGTCTATGGAAAAATTGAACATCTGTTGGAGACCTTGATCGCAAGGTACATTGAAAAATTGAATATTGATGACTAAGTCCTTAAAGATGCATGTTAGACTCCATAAGATACATTCTGGGCCATCCAAATGCCAAGATAGTAGTTATGCGAAAATGAAGTCAAGGATTGTACTCTCAAATCATGGCAAAATTAGTAATGCTTAGGTCCCAGCTCATTTTCTTATGGATTATGGTGATAAATCGCACGTGATGGCTTGGATCAGAAGAAATGTTTATGTTGAGAATAAATGTTTTCAAAAAATGTGTGAATTTTTAATATTTCTCGAAAAACTGGTAACTCCCACATCAAATGCATTAAGAACAATCGAGACCATTAGCCACTAGATGGCAATATCTAAAACCTTGATTATCAAACAAAGGGACTTCCAAGCCTTAAGAGCATAAGCTTGAAGAAACAAGGGAGACCATATAATAAGAACTTAGTTTTATTGGTTCTATTGCTCCCCTAAGTATAGTTGGATGGAATTTAATATTGGATTCTGTGGAACTTCGTTTAATCAATGATAGAAGATTACATGGAATTTCACTTTGAAGTATTCCACGACCTGATAGTCCTGGGTGCCACACTAAGACCAAGGGGCATCCAAACTATTGCGGAAGAAATTTCTCCAGACTATACTCAAGTAGTAATAAATATAGAGTGGAATACTTCATAAGTCATTAAACTCTTAGAAAAGAGAATATGATGCCTATTTGAGTTCTATTGCATTTCTCTAAAGGGAACCTACAGTATTTGTTGCAGAAGGATGAAATACTTAAAAGCATTTGTCTTTGCCCAAACTTGTTTCGAAGATCTTACAAAAGCCAACCTTCTTGTGTTCAGCGAGGAGAAATCTGATAAGGATATTCAAATGAGATAGTAAACCTAGCCATGACCATGGTCTCGAACTTTGAATTTTATCTCAACTAAGGTTCACATAAAGTCCCTCGAACAGGCAATATGTGAAAAATGATTTATGAAAAACAAAGAATTTTTGGTCTTCAATCTTGAAATTCTCTTTATGAACCTATGTGTCTTATTGTGCGAAAGATAAAGCATTGTGCCATATAGGAAAAACATTAAGTATATGATAGGTGCCACCAGCAAGTTATATTAAGGCCACTTGTATGTGTACTAGGCACCAATCTATGATTCTTGATTTTCCAATACAAGGGATCGATGCAATAGAATCTTCGAGGACTTACATAGGTTCACGAACTAAATGCAAAGGGATATCGCCATGCCATGCCAATGCAAACATTATTGGTTTGCTTATGCATTAGCGACCCACTGAGCAGCCTCATATGGTCTCAGAGAGACTTGGAGAGCCCCTTAGTGGGCACCACAAGACCAATGCGAGGCTACATAAATATATGTGGGGTCCTATATGTGCAAGAACAACAGCTGTGTAAAATAGGACTCCATTTGTGGGTAAAACACTGATTAAACATATGCAATTTGGTTGAACCTAAGCAGTTTGAATTTTGGGCAAATGTATGACTCATAAGCCATGAGAAAATCAAATTTGAAAATATGGCTATGAGAGCACTTGTGAGATTAGGGTATGAAAGAACTCCGATCAAAGGATTATTAAGATCCGCTATTTATGAGGCCTAACAGGCAAAGGTAGTCCTAAAGCTATATGAGAATGCCCCAGATATGAATGTGCTTGGTTAATCGAATTTCCATTATCCATGGTGATGCGAATAAACAGTTCACATTGGGTTTAAATGTTGATCATGGTGAGAGAATTATTCCTTAATAGTTAAAAGAAATAGTCTACTATGGAGTAATGTGCCATGGGATATGAGTATGCAGTTTCTAGGGAAGCAATGTGGATTATGCTTCGATCCATGAGTTTTGAAAGGAATGATGTATGTGTGATAATTGAATGAAGATTAAAAGAGGACTAGGGACCAAAATTCCATAGGAAAATCCAAGCACATCAAAGCCACTTCTAACATATAAGATAAAATTGATAAAGGCAAGATGGAGCTGGCTTACATTGCCACTAATGCTATGCACACGAACTCCATGACTAAGGGCCTTATAGTTACCTAATGTGATGTGACTCATGTGAGCATACGTCATCATTGTGTGAGAGATTAAGTAAGATTGTATGAATACAAATATGTGCAAGGCCTCAAAAAGGCTAAGTCACAAATCATGGAATTATGTGGCCTTTCCAAGCCTTGACACTTGATTTTATGGTTCTTGACTCCAGTGGGAGTTTGCGATCCAAAAGGGTCATGAGCTACACTCTGAGTTTTAGGGTTTGGAACCTAGGTTTGGTGTCACATGGAGTCACTAAAACCTCGGACCCACTGGGCATTGGATATGGCCATGTATTAACCATAAGTGTTATACATCATCCCTCAATCAGGTCGCTAGTAGCTCAATGGACACATTTTAGCCACAAGGCATTTGATATTATGTATGGTTATAATTGAGATATATGTGTTTAGCCCTCTATGGGAAGGCCTGGCTAGGACAAGGGCCAGTTTTATGAAGCCACACTTCAGGTTGATCCACCGGATAGCAAGCGTGCATATGTGCTCGAAAGAGGAACCCTTCCACCCACATAGTGGTGCATGTGTTGCTTGTCCATGAGGGGGTGCACCTACAATCCACTTGAGTTCTAAGAATTCCACCATCTATCGATAGGATTTGATAGGCCAAGTATGAGCCCTTGCTTGAGACAATGGGTCCTGGGTTCATTGAGTTAGTTTGAGAAAATGGTAAGGATTTCTGGAATGACCCAAAGTGTAGTGTCTTGGTATTATGCCTTGTCAAATCCATAGATACCTAATTTTCCTTCAAACGATTTTATTAATTGCCCAAAATGATTTGATTTGATAGAGAATGTTTAAAAATGATATTTGGTGATTTTTGTGAATTCTTAGCAATTTTATTTATGGTATTTTTCAGAAAAAACAGTCTGTTTGGCTTACTTCCAAACAAGAACAGCATATGTGAGCTATGCACACGTGGGTCTAAATGGCAAATAGACCCACAAATGTGTATATGTACATGGGATTCACATGTGTTAGTCCATCTCATTCTTTTCCAAACGTGGCTGATATGGCATGACAACATGCTCATGACATCACATGTGACTCCATGTGGAGGAGCCTTCTACCATAAAGGGTGTTTGACTAGGTATGTAAGTGAGATATTCATGATATCCATGTTTTAAGAGGAGTGCACATGGAGGAAAACTCTATAAGAGGTACTATATCATGGGCCTAACCCTAGGTTGATTATTTACAAAAGACACTTGTCATCATTTCCCTAATTTCATGGATTTCCCATGTGATAGAGAGAGAAACACCAAGTTCCTAATTAAAGACTTAGAGAGAGAAGAATTAAAAAGAAAGGACATACCCCTCTCAACACTTTTCTCTCACATTTTATTTGAAACCATGGGCAATTATGTAAGATATTATCAACTTGAATTTGATTGAAATTTGATTGAATTTAATTTCACTTAGTGAGAAACTTTGAATTTAAACATTGGAGGGAAATTTGGAATTGAATTAACCAACAAATAATGGTGTTAAATCCCAATTCTTGAATTGTGATAGTCAACAAGACATTGCATGGCTAAGATCAAGCCTCTCTCACCCCATAGGATTCCTAACTTGATGGCCCTAAATGAACCTCCCAAACTGAAGCTCCTAGACCCTCTACCCAAAACCTATAATAGTAACCTTCTCCCCTCATTTTAACACACCCTTTGAGCTTATGCTAGAGAGAGGAGAGTAAGAGTGAGAGTGGCGTGCCAGAGGAAGAGAGAGTGACCTAGATTGAGAGAGTGATCAGGAGAGAAAAGAATAGCATGCCATTGTCACTTCTTTACTCCACCCTAAAGAGAGAAACGTGGCATACCATTGCCACCACTTGTAGTGAATTTCAGAGAGAGAATCATACCCAATGCTTTCAAGGGAGAGAAATAGTGAGTGAAATACTTGTTTAAAGAGAGAAGAGCCAATTTCATGCTCCATGGGCCCATGGCATAAAGCTCCAAGCCCCTTCTTCAACCCTTGCTTCAACAACCTCCATGAGCATCTTCTTAAAGCTTTTCTACTCCATTTAAGGTTAATTGCTGTTGTAAAATTGCACTTATAGCAAGGTACGATAACTCTCTAAATCCTCTTTTCAATATGTTTTCAAGCCATAAGCATGTCATTCAAAGCCCCTTCTATGCTCCATTGATTTACCCTCAAATTGGCTTCAATTTTGAGATCAATGAACCTTGTTCGTTATGGCGTGTAATAAGTCCCCGAAGGTAATCCTAGGCAAAGCTCTTGAGGGTTTGCTTCCATTGGCTAATGCCTCCCATGCACACATTTGTAAAGATTGCAATTGAGTCATTGTAGATGTAAAAGTGTTTGAATCAATTCTAAAAGAAATTGTATATGGTTGAATTTCAATTGTATGTATGAGTTAAATGCAATCTACAGTTGTCTTAGTGAATGAAAATGGTTATGGAAATGAAAAGAGGTGTTTCTTCATCATCATCAGAGCCTTTTCCCAATTATTTAGGGTCGGCTACACAAATCCACGTCTCTTATTCTGCTCTATCAAGGGCCACACCCTTAGGGGATGTGTTTCATAAGAGAAGGGCCACACCCCTTTCTCTCTCTTAGATTACTAATATATTTGCAATGAATTGATATGACAGTAGCACTCATTGCATATCATATTGGATTTCTATCCATTATAATGGAGTATTAGGCTTTCTTCTCACCAAGGAAAGAGAATAACATGATATTGGACTGTAGATTCCTGAGACTAATTTTTCTCTCGTTTCTATTTTTCTTACTCACTGCTTTCTACCACCCCTCATTTGTCACATCCATGGGTTTCTGACATTAATTTTTTGGTGGATTACTATTTGCTTGAGTGAGTTGGGATGAGATTGGTTGAGGATGACAGTGTTTGGAAGTTTGACGATGTGCTGGTCAGTTGATATGGATTGTTCTTAGGATTGGCCTAGATAGACAGCATGGGTATAACATTCTCAGTTATGTTGATGAGGAAGGCTTTTATGGTATGAAGGATATGTGCTTTTGACTAGTTTTCATTTTGGACACTTGTTCTGAATTTCCTTCTTTTCTTTTCTTTTTTTAAAGGAAAGCCTACCTATTGCAGCATTTCGTTTTTGAATATAATCTATCGCAGCATTCTTAAATACAATAAAAATTTGATAATAGCGGGGGAATCGCCCAATCTAACCAAGTGGTGTAAAAAATGAGGTTGTGCATATGTAGGCAGAGCAATGTTGGTAGGTAAGCAATTCTTGTAATGGACCCATGTGAGCAATTGTTTGGAGTGAAACTTGCTTAAATAATTGTTCAATGGAATTAGCTCCTGGACTAGAATACTGTGGATAAGTGATCTTTGGGAGCCTCGATCCTAAGTTCGACGGACCACAATCCCATTCAGAGCTTCCCTCGCACCTTTGTCCAGTAACTATGGCCATAACCCATGGGTGCTCTGCACTTCTACTTCTAAATGAAGAAAAGTATGGCATCTTCATTGTCTAGGAATTTCCAGACTACAGGAGCCAATGTCTTCCATACCTTCGTAGCCCAAACTTCCACTCTTTGAGGTCATGTCTTTTGAGCTGGAATTTTCCGGGGGAGAACACCTTTGAGCATCTCAAATCTATCTTCCTCAATTGTGTCACCAACTCGAATATAAGTTTTTCGATTGGAGCATAAATAATGCAAAACTGGTTAGGTATGCTTTTCTGGAAGATGGTAGACTAGTTTATGGGGAGGTGCAGGTAATAGTGTTCCTCTGGAATGGCAGGGATGATGGCATTAAGTTGAGGGAGTTGGCACCCATGGGGACTTCATATCTCTTTTCTCTATGTTTAAATCTGTCAAATATGAAGATTCCTTCAATGGTAGGTGAAAAATTTGTGATCCATAGGGATACTGATGTTGCACTTTAGTCATTTCTCAAACCCAGATACGCATACTCACTCGGCCAGTAAAAAATATACAAGCATACCAGCACAAGTTCTTTTACATCACAGTTCCTTCAAGATGAAACTTATGCAGAAAGCATAAAGATTAAAGCACATAACTTACAATGCAAAACCAGAAAGAAAAAAGTGTCAAACAAATATTGTAAAATTTTGGAGGATATTTGTTCTAATGTAAACTTCTTTCCTAGATTTTCTGCAATATACATCTCATCAAATGCTTCCCTTGGAAATATCAATAAAAACCAAATGGACTTAGAAGATTGACAATATGGATACTACCAAGAATTGGGCATTAGATAGTCATCTATTTGTAAATTTGAATCTAGATATAGAAAGCACAAGAGGAACTTTGTGAGAAGAGTTATTCAGAAAGAATATGCTTACAAGACACCAAGATTAAGGATGTCCTCGACCCATATATCACCTTTTCCCTCAAATCCACATCTGTTCTGTAAAAAAATTAAATGACCTACAGAGCATGAATAACATGAAGGCGCACAAGGACAGCTATCTCGAAGACCAGAATTTCATTTAAACAGATTTGACTGAATATATGAGTATATGATGACTTACGGGGTTAAACTTTATTACACTAATTTGTTCTATGTCATCCCTTTCAAGAATACCAGCTTCAACAAGTTCCAACAGCTCGTTCATAGATATATTCCATTCTTGTGCCCTCTGATCATTGCAAACTTCTATAATTAGTCAGCTTAATGACACCCAAACAGATAATTCTTAATCATATGATAATAATTCAGCCGACCGAAGAGCTCACCCCTTTAATCACATTCTTTTCAATAATCCCTACTCGAAGGCCTTTTGTTCTCAATGCAGTAGCCAAAAAGATTCCCAATGTACCACCACAAACTAATACATCAAAAATTTCTTGTATTTCATTTTCCGATTGAGAATGCCTACATGTGCTTGGGAATCTCTTAACAAGTTCTATGGTTTCATTTGTATCTGCAACAGGATAGAAGATTAGCATTCTCTTTTCCAAGATATTAAAGTTTCCAACTTTAAAATAACATGTAGAAGTAGACATTATGATGGAAAAGTTTCATGATACACAAAACTATGTGAAAGAACTGAAAACCACTAAGTTACAACACTATGTGCGTTGGACACTTTTGGTGGGTCAGCTCTGACATGACACACATGTCCGACATGAACACACCCACGATCTGCTCAGACATGTCTGTAGTGTGTCCTGAACAAATTTCATTCCACAGACAGTCACTTGATATGTCCAACATCAATATGTGTGTCCAAATACTAGACCCATGCATCGAAATATTTGGACACATATAGCCAACATTTGGACACTTGTGTCCATTTACTTGGTCACATGTCCAGAGCTCTAGACATATGTATTAGCACTATTTGCATGTCTATGATCTCGACAAATCTAAGCATCGGACATGCCTGTTTTATTTTAAGTTGTTTTTTGTTACTAACGAGTTACAAATTAAATATGCATTTTACAACTTGTATCAAGCAGTCATGTCCAACATGTCATTTTATGAGGAGCTGTCAAACACATCCTCTGTGTCAGATGCAGAAACACAAATCTGTCACCTTGGACCATCAGAAAAAGAACATGAGAAAAGTGACCAAGAACCTGCCTGGTTTTGGTGAGCAGATACTTAGCCGTATCCGATCCAACCTTTTCAAAGCCTCATATGAGTAGGCTCCACCAGCACCTCCCACTTCACCATTTATTGAAACATTTCCCAAGATTTCCTACAGAAGGATAATTAGCAATAAACTGCATTCGAGTTGAATTTAAGAACTGTATGATATCTGACATTAGCAAAGGAAAATGAAAAGATAGCCACAAGAAGACTAGAGAGGCCAATATGAAAAACTAGTGATAAATCAGCCAGATGGTATGCATTGAGCAAACGAAGCTTTAATTCCACAATGACTGGTTAACAACACAGCACAAATTTATTCAAATTGAGAAAGTATTGTAACTTTAATATATGAACAATTGTTTCATACAGGCTGGACCACATTTCTACAATATGCAGTTCAGAGGTATAAAGCATCCATCTTAAAGACGGACGCAAATAGGT